GCCATCTCTTCCTGCTCGTTGGTCGTCTTCTTATGATCTTTGTTGACAAGAGAAAGTCAGAAATGCCTTTTTCCTGTCAGGAAAATACCAAACGCACCAAGAAATGCCAAATGAGAGTCACGATTGAGACTATAAATGACATGGAAACCTTCGAGAGTGGAGAAATCGCAGGTGTCGTCGCGATTCAGACCACAGGGGATGCAAGGAAGACCAGCCATGAGGTGGACACAGTCGCGATTGAGGACTTTGCAACAGTTACATGGGCCGATGAGCTGTTTCCCGTCAAGAAATTGCAAGATTTCGAGTGGGAAAAGTGACATACTTCAAGACTCGCACACATTTTGAAGATGGATCGATAGACTTCGTCCCACGAAGATGCCGCTATAGAGGATAGGGATCATGGGCTCGTTGACGTACTTGGGAATACCGTTGTCGGTTATGGTAGAGGGTCAAGACAGACTTTTCTTAGAGATGGAAAAGCTTTTATTCGACGAAACCATTACAAATTCGACCACACAACATCAAGGACGTTATCTAGGCGACCGATCGGAGTTGCTACTGGTGGATTGCTGAGAAGAAGACATGTAGGGAGTTGTGGATTGATGGGAAATCCGCAGATCTCGAACAAAGATTGTCGAGTTGATGAATTGGGAGGGAACCCAAGTCCAAGATCGAGTCAAAATACTCAGGACTTTGCATTGGGGACTTTTCTCAGATGAATTTTACTTAAGTTCGGACGAGAAAGGAAGGCAATGTGAAAATACTGATTATTTTGCCGGTCGTAAAGTACAAGCAAAGTACTTTACGCCGGCCGCGCACTGTGAAATATACAAAAATTTTATAGTCCGTAGACTTTCGACCCGCCGACGAGCTCCCAACCATCGAGATGCAACCGGAAACCAGACCAAGGGGATCTCACCCAGATGTGGATGGACCCGCCTCGTTGGAATCGGGTGGAGCGATGGGCATCTCCGTGTCGCCCAGCAACTCGTCGTTCTCCTCCGTCTCCTCGTCCTTCTTGTCCTTCTCGTCCTTGGGACCGTTGGGATAGTTGGATCCTACAGAGGAAAAGAGTGTTAGCGATGGGAAGCTGAGGAGAGAGATGTGGAAGTACCTTTGCGAGCATTGGCAAGGAGCAGCTGGTTGAGGACCATGGTCGCGGACTCGTCGCCAGTCTCGAGAAGGAAGCGTCGCTCGAGGCCTTCGGAAGAATGGATCTCGACAACCGACTCCAGGTGCCACTGGAAGGATTCGAGTGCCCGTTTGACCGAGGACATCGCCAGGCGATGGGCTTCACGAGTCTGCGCTGCCAGCTCGAAGACCTCCTTGAGGTGGATCAACTCCAGATGAGTCTCGCGGTTAGAAGACGCGATGAGAGGCGTGAGATGCTCGATGACTTTGAGCATCTCGTCTGAGGAGCGTTGGTGGTCGCAGAGGTGACCCTTTTGCTGTCGTGGTTGCAGTTGTCCAAGGAACACCGTATCCCAAAGGGGTGCAGTCTCGGCGGAACATCATGCACATCAGGCATGGCCAAGCGGGAAGAGGGGGCTGGTCCGGGAACGCTCTCTTGAGGAAAGCAATTGGGACGGGTGCGGACTCGACGTAGTAGGGCTCGAAACCCTTCGACTGGATCGTCGATTTGCCGGGGTTAGTTGAGACGGGCGAGTCGAAGGTCTTCACGAGGGCCGTCAAGAGAGAGGCAACGCTTGGGTAATGCGGGACAAGACCAGCCGGACGCGATTGTTGGGGGTGAAGGAAAGGATGTCGCGCATGAAGCCCGCGGTTGGAAGAGACGAACCAAAAGCTGGTTGAGCTTATGGGTGTGTGCGGGGTCAGACGCGTCGAAGGGGGCGTTCTCGTCTGCCGGACGATAGCGGAAATACCCATCAGCGCCTGGCACCAACTCATCGTTTAGCTCCTCAGCATCGTCAAACTCCAGCACCGTGCCCTTCTCCTTGGCATATTTCGACTTTTTGGCGGGTGGCTTGCCTGAAGAACAGAAGAGTTAGTGGAAGCAAGAAGTGAAGGAAGGCTTGAGAACGTCGGGTGGACTTGGAGACTTTCTCTGGAGAGACAGTCTCTTCTCCAGAAGAATCTTCACGAACACGCCATGGACGGGAGCCTTGCCCTTCTCTTTCTTGACAGCAACAACGGACTCTGAAGAAAAAGAGTGTCAGTACAATCCGGTTTGGGGGAAAGGGAGATGAATAAGACGTACCATTGTCGTCATCTTCACCGTTCTCTTCCTCGGACTCGACTGGAATGACAACCGGGGAGGGTTGCCTTGGCCTTGGGTTTGGGCCGAGGTTTTGGCTTCTTGTCGTCGGCTTGGTGTTTGGCCAACGGCGTGGAGGCTGGGCAGTTCGAGCTCCTTGAGCTTCAGCGTCGCCGGCATATTGCTAGGGAAGGCTTCGTCGGAAATGTCCAAGTAATATGAACCAAGGTCCTGAAAAACCGAGTCAGACAATCGAAAGGAGGAAATAAAAGGAGATACGCACGGTGAAGAGCGCAAATTTACAAGTCAGGAACGCCCAGTCCTTGTCCAACTCTTTGGAAGGGAGCAGGTCCCGCAATTTGATGGTCAAGTCGACGAGGAGCACGATATCGAGGGATGCATATTCGGTGGAGGCTCGCGAGAGGGATTCGGTGTATTGGAAGATATAGCGCTGGAAAGGGGTGATCAGAAAGGGGAAGTGCGAGAAGAAAACGAGAAGACTCACGAAATACGGGAGTACTCCGTTGAGGTGCGACACGAGAGGAGGAGTTTTCCAGTGTGGCTTGAGGGCAGGAGTAGACGGGTCTTCGGCGGTGACGACGGAGGGTGTTGAAGAAGGATTGGCCGGCCTTGTTAACGAAGCAAGACCAGCAGGGGTTGGAGGTCAAGGGGATGATAGGAGTTAGAGAGTCGTCTGACAGAGAGGGCGACTCCCCGAGCCTGTTTCTTCAACGGGGAGGTCTTTTTGGTGGACATGGTGGAAGAAAGAAAGAAAGAATGGGACGAAAAAAGGGGGCGGACAAGCTTTTATACGCCGAGCGTAGGGCTGTGAAGAAGAGTGAAGAACAAAACGTGACAGCAAGGGACGCTTCTGAAGCTTAAACCACATGCACCGGCTCCGGGGAATTAACTTTCTCTTGCGCGCAGTCGCGGAACCGCTCTATTTGGTTAGCAGCTTAAGTGTATTGGGTGAATCTGGAAACCCCGGTAGAATTAAGGGAAGCTTGCGAGACGGAAAGGGCCGACCGGGCGCCTGAACGGAAGCATTCCTTTGTCCGAGGGCAAATCAGTGATCACGGCAACGCCTTTGCTTGGCAGAACCAAAGATCCGACAGAGAATGTCAAAAATTTGAGTCCAGAGTGTCGATCCTTGATCTTCGCTGACGGCAAAAAGTGAAAGATGGAGAGAATTCATTGATGTTGTTGAATTCGAGTATTGCCAAAGACGACTGGGGACAGTCGAGATTTAAAAATGGGGAGATGATAAGCCGCAGTCTGGGACAGACCAGGAAACGACTATTTTTGTCGATTTTGTTGCTCAGCGCACGTCTCAGAGTTGACATGAGTCCCGAATGGTCAACTAGGGAGTTACCTGCACAAGAACATATCAAAATCCAGTCAAATCCTATCAAATCGCTCATAGTGATTCCAAAGTCTTGACTAGGAAAAGGTTCGCAGAGCCCGCTTCTCGCTAGAATCCATCCAATTCTATGCAAAATACCCAAAGGGGGTGTATTCTAAAAGGCATATTCGGTTTGGCGCTCAGTGGAGACTCGAAATCGACAACTCCTAGACTAGGGCCACCCCTATCTCTGTTGGTATCGACGACTGACATCATTGGAACGTGGTTTCGGATCATGCTGGAGGATCGGGAGTGCCAAGGGACGGTTAAACGGTGAAAAACCTACTCAATTGATTGGGGCCTGGACCTGTGATCAACGGCGACTCTAAAACACTGTCGAGGAACTGATCATCTGAACATTGGAAATGCGCCAGGAGAGTTGGGACAACTACCGCTGAGGCCATACGCACAAGATACGAGTTATGGGTGTCAATCGAAAGCTGGGAAGCAGAGCTATCCACTTATCCTACTCAAGATCGAGGGATTCTTCACAAGCAAAACTAGATGGTCGCGAACACGGAAGATTTACACAGGTCATTGACTCCAACACACGCGATACCAGTCATCTGGACCTGGATTTTCGACTCCGGGTCGTATGGCGAAACGATACCTATACAATTATGCACATGGACGACTTTTCTTACTCGAGATTTTCCCTGATTCTATCAATTTCTGTTTAGTATTTATACCTCTGTTTTGTATTTGGCAGGTTCACGGATTGCCCCGCTCTACTAGGTGCATCTGGGGATCTAGCTCGTCAATTTATCTTGCTAGCTCTTTCGAAATAGTATCATCGCGTCGAAGGATTATTGGTTGAGGGTTTCGGTTGCCGTTTAAAAGAGAGTTCCGGTTGCTGTTTATTGGGTTTCGGTTGCTGGTCGAGAGTTTAAGGCAGTTAGTTCCTGACTCGAGACAACTCAGAGGGTTTAAGGCAGTTAGTCCTGATCCAACGAGTATAAACTCTCCGGGCATCGTATTGGCGCTTCTCTATTGCTGAGTTTCGTCGATAATACGCTTTAGGGGCACAACAAATCAACGTTTTTCGCAAGAAACTCGTATCAACCCTACAACCTTACACATTTGTGCCAAGGCTCTGTTCACAGGGGTCTGTTCTCGCACAAGGAGTCGACGATATTTTGGGTTTTGTGACTTTCCCTACTTGACATTATACAACTTTCTCTCTATCTCAAGTGGAGTTTTGGTTGTTTTTGTTAGTTTGGTTAGTTAGAGGCTCATTTGTTTTGTCCCCACTCCGCACTCATCATCGTTTGATCCCTTGCTCTCTCGCTCTCGCTCTCGCTCTCGCTCTCGCTCTCGCTCTCGCTCTCGCTCTCAGTTTCGACCTCGTTCGATGCTTCGCCTCTCTACACGAAGTCAGATAGGTCAAGATGAACAAATAGAACATACCGATTCGGCTTGATTCATATACTGCTCAGTGATATCCAGAGCAGCTTGAGAGTCCCAGTCTGCTAACCAAGCGGCGTCTGCTGCGACAGTGTCGATTGTGGAATTTTTGTTCTGGCGACATCGAAAGATGGTGGCCGTTTTGGAAGAGTCGTAGCCAAGGTACTGCGCGATAGAAAGTAGGGTGCGGCCATGTTGCTGGAGATAGCGGCTGATGGCTCGGTCTCTTCGGTTGAGGCCAGCTAATTCGAAATCATCTTCATGAACTCGGGCTTTTTTGCGTCTCTTGCTATAGAAAAGTTGGTAAGGGAAACAAATGGTAAAAGATGGTCACTGACCAAGGGCGAGTGGACTTGACTGCAGGTCTCCGAGCCAAGTTTTTCGGCCGTTTCGGTGGCATTGAGTCCGAGGTTTCCTTCGAGTTGTTGTTGATGGTGCGGGGCTGGCGGCACCAGAGTGTAATCGCCCCAAGGCTCAGCGAAAGATTCAAGAGGCCCAGAAGGTTTTCGAGTGGGGGATGGAAGGAAGAAGGTTGTGCAGCAAAACTTCAATTGTATTGCTTCACTGCCGCACGTGAAGCTGAAGGTTAATTGAGCCTGAGTCAATGCCTTGGCACAGCTTACAAGTTCAAGTTGAGTGGAGAGCAGTGAGTCTGAACCGGCGCAAAATTCATCTGGTTGGGGGAGGGAGAAGTTGGTGAACGTGGAAGCGCGGGAGGAGGACTGTCTCCTGGGAAGTCACGCCGCTGCTGCTTCGTGGACGCTGACGACTATCGCTTCGGAGACTCTAATGAGCAGTCATCACTACTTGGTACAATTCCGAGACGCATTTCGGCGCGCCAGTGCGCGGTTCGTTGATACATTTCAGTTTGTGTGCAGAGGAATCAAAAACAAATGCAGCAGATGTAGTAGTAGTAGACGTAAGCTAAGCAAAGCACCCCCAAAGACCCTGTTTAGTCGATCTCCTCCACAGCAGACGTGGTTTCCGTGGCGGCAGCCGTTGGTTTGGGCGGTCGAGGTTTCTGTTGTCTCTTCCTCCTCTTCCTCATCAACATCGAGACCAAGTCTGTTTGTAGCATGTTAGACCAGTAAAAAACGAAAAAAAAATAGGAAAACTAACGCAATCATTCGGTGGATACGCTTAGCGAAAGATGTCGGTTCATCGAGAGCAAAGCCAGAAGTGAGCAGCACTGTCTCGAAGAGCAGATAGGTCAAGTCGCGAACAGACTTGTCGCCCTTGTCCTCCGCAACCTTACGCTTGAGCTCCTTGACGATGGGGTTGCTCGGGTTCAGTTCGAGGTCTTTTTCGAGGCCATATACGACGACATGGATGAGTCACGAAGTGCCTGCGCCTTCATGATACGCTCCATGTTGGATGACCAACCGAATTGGCCAGTGACAAGAACGCAAGGAGAGTCGGTGATGCGGTTGGAGATGACGACCTTCTCGACCTTGTCGCCAAGAGCATCCTTGACAGTGGTGCAAAGGTCGCTGAAGGCAGCAACCTCAGCCTCACGTGCCGCCTTCTCCTCTTCCGTCTCCTCAAGCTCCAGACCCTCTTTCGACACACAGATGAGCTTCTTGCCATCGAACTCCTTCAGTTGTGTGATGGGCGTACTCGTCAATGGGGTCAACGAGCAGCAGAACTTCGAAGCCCTTCTTCTTGAGGACCTCAAGGAATGGTGAGTCGCGGGTGGCCGCCAAAGATTCGCCGGTGAGGTAGTAGATGGATTTTTGGATTTCGGGCATGCGGGTAATATAGTCTGCAAAGATTATTAGATGAGTTCATAAGCAAGAAAGGAAAATATACCTTTGAGCGAGGTCTGCTCCTCAGACGACTTGGTCGAGAAGAAACGCAGGAACTCGGCGAGTTTGCTTCGGTTTTGGGCATCTTCGTGGATACCAAGCTTGAGGTTCTTGCCGAAAGCCTCGTAGAATTTGGTGAAGTTGTCCTTGTCCTCCGCAATTTCAGCCAGAACCTCCATGCACTTCTTCACAATGTTCTTGCGAATGACCTTGAGGATCTTGTTCTGCTGCAACGTCTCACGGGAGATGTTGAGGGGCAGATCCTCTGAGTCGACGATACCCTTGACGAAGTTGAGGTATTCGGGAATAAGCTCCTCGCAGTCGTCCATGATGAAGACACGGCGGACGTAGAGCTTGATGTTGTTGCGCTTCTTCTTGGACTCGAAGAGATCGAAGGGTGCCCTGAACATGGTCAACAGGGAAGCAACAGATTGAATAACGACTTACCGCTTGGGAATGAAGAGGATGGCCTTGAATTCGAGTTGACCTTCAACGAGAAGTGCTTGACAGCAAGATGATCCTCCCAATCGTTGGTTAAGCTCTTGTAGAACGACCCGTACTCTTCAGTCGTGATTTCTGACGGGTTGCGAGTCCAGATGGGCTTGGTTTTGTTGAGCTCCTCGGTAGTGATCTTTTGCTCCTTAACCTTCTTCTTCTTATTGTCTTTCGGCGCATCATCTTCATCCTCGACCGCCTCGATCGGCATCAGCCTCCTCCTCCTCGTCATCCTCAACTTCCTATAGATCACGTTAGAACAGATGTAGGAGAGGGGAAAAAGACTACTAACCTTCTCGACCTCCTTCGTGACAGCGAGTTTGATTGAGTAAAAAATGAACTCGGACTTTTTCGCGACAATCTCCTTGATCTTCTTCTCCTCGAGGTACTCGAGTTGGTCCTCCTTCGGGTACAAACGGATTTCAGAACCACGTCCGATTGGGGGGTTGACGGTGTCGAGGGTAATAGTGAAGGTCCCACCAGCGGCAGACTCCCAAATGTATGGCTCGTCATCGTTGTGTTTGGAAACAACCTGAACAGACGAGGTAGGCAGAGTAGAAACCGACACCGAATTGACCAATCATGGAGATGTCGGCGCCAGAAGAGAGGGCCTCAATGAAGCCTTTTGTGCCAGACTTCAAGTTGGCGATGGTACCTAGATCATTGACCAGGTCAGCCTTGGTCTGGCCAATACCCGTGTCGTGAATGATCAGCAGCTCTTCTCTTTGTTGGGGATGAAGATGGAGAGATCCATCTCGGTGTCGAGAACGGAAGGGTCGGTGAGAGAGGCCTAGCAAATTTTATCGGGCATCCGAGGCGTTGAAAGTAGATTCACGAAGGAAAATCTCGTTGTCCGTGGTGGCGAAACTGTGCTGGCGAAAGGCCGAGTGCGGTACAGGCGACGCGGTGGTCCAAAGCTTAGTTGAGTCGATAGTGTCTAGATAGTCACGTCAGAATCGCACCACGTTTTCCTTTGTGGATGCACGTACCGATAATGAGGTTGCAACTGGCTGATTTCAGCTTGGAATCCAAAGCTTTCGGTGGAGGTGGTGCTGGAGCAAGGACGGCACTAATCACGCATCGACTTTGGACGGCTCTCGCGCACGATGCAGTGAAATGAGATGAGTGAGGGAGAGAAGAAAGTAGGGTGGCGGATTATTGCTCGAGTATGGAGATCAGGGAGCTTTCGATGACTGAGTTGTATCCTTGAACTGGTTGTGGCAGTTACCACGCGCTGCGACAGCCAAGACCATACAAGGGAAATTTTTGCGCTCTAGCACAGTGAGATGCAGCGTCATTGAGTAAGAATGTCGACAACAAAAGCAGCCTGAGCGGGGCTATAAGCCATTTTCTGAAGACGTAAAATGGGGTTTATGCTCACTAACATAGTTGTCACAGACTTTGAGAGTCTTATCCAGCCGCATCACCAGCCTGACCTTGTGGGTCTCCTTGTGCTCGAGGAGACGGACATCTCTAGTGCCATGCTCTTTCCATTCGTAGCCTACATTACTGTCGAATCGAAACAATTTGGCGCGCCTACAAAAGTCAGAGGGGCCAAGATCGCGTGAAAGTAGACCGACATCTTGAAAAGCACACCCTCATCCTCTTCGTGGGTTTTGCTATCGCCGACTTATTCTGTGAGTTTGATCACAGGCTCGAATTTGTGGGTCATGTTCCTCCTCCTGCCAAGACAAACAACGCCAGATAAGCGGTGGCCAATCGAATGGCGTACCCGGGGAGCGACTCGGAGTGCGTCTAAAGACGTGCTGCGTTGCGGCAAAGAGCTGTCGACCATGAACCACGATGAGGATATATCTGCCGGAATGAACGAAATGGCATTCAGTCCGGCCTCGTCCCTCCATCGCACACTCTTCTTCTTCTTCTCCTTGTCAGCGAACGGTAGAGCTGAGCACTTGATTGCAGCGACTTGCGCAATACTCGACATGTCCTTCGAAGAGCCTGCAGATGTATCGGAAACAGGGGTGTTGACGGTCGAGGGGCGAGAGCCGTAAGACGATGAACGTCTAAAGCTAACCACAGCAGTTGTCGTCGATTGAGTTCAAACTTGAAGGCTCGTCAATTGACTCACTTGGACTCGGATAGTGTCACGGATAAGACCCGGCCCGTCCGCTCCGGCGCTGGTGTCGGGCCATTGCGGGCCCGTAACACGCAGCACGTGACGACGGGGAACATGCGCCCCAGTAGGAGGAACGCACACGTGGGAAGCACGTGACCGAGAACGACGCGTCGAGCCGTCGCCGAGCCCAACTCGACACCAGGGGAATGGGGAGGAGTGCTAGGAGGTCAGGAGTAGCGCCTGGCCCGCAAGGGATGTGCGATCGTCCCCTCTGCGGCCAGGAACGGGAGTGAGGAGGAGGAGGAGGGGCCAGGGTGTCCGATCACCCCCTTTGCGGGCCCGCGTATATAATGCGCGATAGTGTACCCTGTACTCTATCGCTTAGATCGTCTGAAGAACTACCTTACTCCGTGCGAGGAGACACTATCGACTCATCGGGCCCGACACGACCCGATTCGAACCTTCGACCACCGACTACGGCAAGGGACCGAGTTCACGGGCCCTTTCGGTTTCGATCTACCCCGCCCGCCATACTTGCGGGCCCGACTATTCGTCTGTTCTGTTCCGGGCGCGCGTTCTTAGGAGAGGTCCTTGCACGGCCCAACCCGCAGTCTGACAGAATCTAAGCGATCCCCCTACACCCGCAACAGAATGGACACTACCACCGTCATCGCACTCCCGGCGTGGGCCACGATAGTGGCTATCGTCATCGCCTCCCTTGCCTACCTATACGGACGCACCCTCGAAGCCCAGCCCGTGGTCTTCAACCGCGTCCTCTACGGGAGAAAGGAGCCCGCCCTGAAGTGGGGCACCCCTAGGCGGGTCTCCTTGGACGAACACCATCGGCACATGGAACACACTTGCCCGGCCCAGGGCGCCGGGCCCGCCGCAAAGCGCCCGACGCCTCAACAACTCCCCGCCCCTCCCCCAGACGGCCGAACCCCCGATCCGATCGTCTCGGACCGCCCCGGGCCACCGGCACACTCTGCCTGACGAAATGGGACACACCTCCCTCCGCACGAAGGCCCTGGGGGCCCGTTCTTATCTCTCTCGTAATCTGCTCTACTTAATCTGTGGCGGGGCCTCTGCCCCTAATAATAAAACTCTTTCTTCACCCATCACACAACGGACGAGCGCAAGACGAATCGATCGATTACAAAACAGCCAAAATACAAAAAAAGGGGAAAAAAACACGCAGACCAAAAACAAACACGATACGGTCCGAATCATCACGGGGGCGCCCTACGGGAGGGGGCCGACTGGACAGAGCGCGAACAATGACAGCAAAACAAAAGGAGGAGGATACCCGAACGCCGCGACCGAGTAGACGGGGAACTCCGGCCGAGGTCGCCGAAAGACGACGAACGACCCGCCGAAGCCTAATCCAGGTCCATCATGCCGAAGCTCAGGCCGTCCTGACGGCACACATTCGCATATACCTCTCGTTCAGCGGCCCGACGCTCTAAACCCTCCGGCGTTTCCCAGAATCCCGACCTCTCTCTCCTTCGGACCGGTGGATAGCCAGAAGAATGGCGCCCAGATAGCGGCACACGCCGGCGGCGACGTCCCCGAGGCGGTCAGGGACTCCAGCGAGTTCACCAACCGGAGGTCTGCATCCAGGGAACGCATCGACGACAACTCCGCGAGTGCGCGGGTCCGAGCATCCGGGAAGCCCCCCGTCGGCCGAATGAACCGCCGACTGTTGCAGCAACAGCACGCCCAACGGAGACAAGCGCTGATCGGCGGGTACCGACGGGTCCCCCCATGCAACCGGCGAGACTCGGCAATGGCCCGATCCAAGTCCCATCCCCTCCCGAACCACAGGGAGACTCGAGGGAACGAAGGCACCTGGAAACCCATGGTGGGATAAGAAAGAGGGTGGGTCTCACCCGCAGGGGACGGATGGCCGGGACGAGGCCTCTCCTAACGAGCGGTCGCGACAGGGGAGGCCGTCCGGCGGAAAGTGGGGCGGGGCCTCGGCGGGGGGCCGACTTGACGATGGTGGGGGAGACGGCGAGCGGGTGCGAACTCGTTTTCGCACGGGGGACGGGGAGGAGTCCCGAGAAGACGCTGACGAAAGAACGACCGGGCGGCGACGACGGCCCGAAGAAGGCCCGACCGTCGGGGTTGGGCTCCGCCCGAACCGATCCTCGTTTGATCGGGGCAAATAGGAGAACAAGAAGGACCGGTACGGGACCGATGCGGACAGCCCGACTAGATCAGCGAAGCGGGGATCGGGACGTAGCAGCGCAAACTCGCCATCCTCGACTTGACGCTCCCAAAACTCGAAGGAAAAATCGTGCAGAGCCGCGGAGCGAGCCTTGTACGCATCTGCAAAAGACCGCCAGCGCAGACAAGCACGATGGAGCGGGCTACACGCGTCACAAGCCCGACGCACGGGACCAGGGAGTTTCTGGGGAGAACTGTCTGGGGGCGCCCACACGGTGCACAAACGATCATGAGCGATGCAATACTCGCAGCGAGGGAGAGGGATCGGATCACGGTCCCCGGGCGACGGGGGGGCTCTCCCCGAAAAAGCGCCAGCTGTCCAGTGGACTCGAGACGAGGGGCCAAGGGGGTGCCGAAATCCCGGTGCAACGGGGTAGGCGACGAGGCCGGGGAAAAAGGAGGGTCAAGCTCATCCTCTACCGAATCGTGTTCCGAAGGGTCGATCCCCAGCGAGGACAAGCGACGGGGGCCGGCAATGACTTCCACATCCGAACTCGAGTCCGGATCAGAGGGGAGGAACAGGAGGGTCGAAACAGGCGGGGCACCGTCATGCTCCACGTCGATCTCCATAGGGGGGAGGATCGCGCCCGAGCCACGGGCGTAGGGGGCACCGCTTTCCCATCAGGGCCGTCACCCCGGCACCTTCCGGATCACTTCCAGGGCTCGGGAATTGATCGTCTAACCAAGTTGCCAAAGGGAGGAAGCTAAAAGAGACGCCCGCCTCCGCCTCATCCACGAAGGGCCACCCGAGAACGCGACCTCGTCCCGAGGATCCGGCAAGAAGACTACCCGAATGAATGACGACCACCGGTCGGCGTGGAAGGAACGGCGGCACGAGAGACGGAGGGAGAGGGCCCAGCAGACGGGCCAGCGTATCGGGCCGAGTTATATTCTCTCCGGGAAACACGCGAAGCGGCCACGTGGGCCAAGACGAGGAATCGGTCTGAGACGAAGGAGGGGAGGCCAACGGAGGCAGCGCAAGACAAGGCGTGAAGGATGAGGCGCTGGGCGGAGACCGTCACCACACGATCGGAAGCGGGCAAGGAAGGGAACGTACCACCCAACGCCACAAGGGGAAAGAACAAAGCATCGGGGAGGAAGTGTCGGCAGAAAGGAGATGGGCAAGGAGGCCACGGCCCAGTTGTCCGAACAAGGGGCGGATATCCTGAAGGGAGCCGTCCTCGCGACGCCAGACGAAGGAGGAGGGGAACGCATCAAACAAAACGCCAAAGTAAAGGTGGTGGGGGCCGAAGACAACCGGCTGCCACAGACCGGCTTTCATCAGGCGGTCGAACTCGCCCTGCCACAAGATTCGAAGGGAGGACGACGGCAGTAAGGGCGCGGCAGGGGGACTGGGAGAGTAGAAGCTCGATGGGAACGGACTACGGGGGCTAACCGAGGGAACAGCTTGGAAGAATAGTCGGCGGCTTGAGACGGAGGCAAGTCCTCCAACAGGCGGAGGGGCTCGAATGACTCCCGGCACGACGGGTCTCGCCCTTGCAAGAGGGGCCAGGAAGCAGGGAACTCGACGAGCGACATGGAGGCAAAACGAACAAACAGGCGACCAGGCTCCGACGACGGGGGAACCATCTGAGAGCCAAGGGGGGCAACAACCCGGAGCGGTACAAGTTGGGGGACGACATGAAGAGGATCAGAAGGGAAAAGCCCTGGCTTATATGGGGGAACGAACGCGTTCTATATCGAACTTCGACCGAGGCGCGCAGCACAGCCCACTCGCAAGCAATATGAACAAAGGACGCCGCAACTGAATTGGCAACACGAAACGCTACGCCGCACGTGACCGCGGTGAAACACTTGATGGACAGGAAGAATCGATCTGCGGACGCCACGAGGCGTCAGCAGCCAGGGAGATTAAAATGCGCAGCCGAAGCTTAGCTTAAGCTTATGGGCTGGATGGAATTTGCGATTGGAAGGACGAGCTAGAGTCAAAATTAAAACCCGAGAAACCGGGGCGACCGAGCCACGCCGACTCGAGACGAGTCGTTCCTAGGGAGGGGGTGATGTCACGGATAAGACCCGGCCCGTCCGCTCCGGCGCTGGTGTCGGGCCATTGCGGGCCCGTAACACGCAGCACGTGACGACGGGGAACATGCGCCCCAGTAGGAGGAACGCACACGTGGGAAGCACGTGACCGAGAACGACGCGTCGAGCCGTCGCCGAGCCCAACTTCGACACCAGGGGAATGGGGAGGAGTGCTAGGAGGTCAGGAGTAGCGCCTGGCCCGCAAGGGATGTGCGATCGTCCCCTCTGCGGCCAGGAACGGGAGTGAGGAGGAGGAGGAGGGGCCAGGGTGTCCGATCACCCCCTTTGCGGGGCCAGCGTATATAATGCGCGATAGTGTACCCTGTACTCTATCGCTTAGATCGTCTGAAGAACTACCTTACTCCGTGCGAGGAGACACTATCGACTCATCGGGCCCGACACGACCCGATTCGAACCTTCGACCACCGACTACGGCAAGGGACCGAGTTCACCTGGGCCCTTTCGGTTTCGATCTACCCCGCCCGCCATACTTGCGGGCCCGACTATTCGTCTGTTCTGTTCCGGGCGCGCGTTCTTAGGAGAGGTCCTTGCACGGCCCGACCCGCAGTCTGACAGATAGACGTAACAGTCTGAGTGTCTTCAAGTTCTGCCAGTGCAAAATTCAACCATGTCGATCGCAGAGTCATTCGCCCATTCCCCGGGGAGGTCGAACCAGACGCGGCTTGCTGTTGGAGGAGTCAGAGTGGAAGGAAGAGGAAGATTTGTTTGATTGGCACATCCGAGTCACAACTTGAAAAACATTTGTCCGAGTCGATAATAGCGGTACAGCTTGAGTACAGCTAACTAGCTAAGTGAATGAATGTAGTGAAAAAGTCCAAAAGGATGGTGTTCTTAGTCGAGTTGGCGGCCAAGGCTCTCCCCAACATACATCTGCATCAGTTCCTCAGGGTTGACGCTCTCCGAGTCCATCTCGCCACCTCCCAGCATGTCCGCGTCTTGTTGAGCCAACAGACGATTGAGACGCAGCACCTCCGCCTTCCGAGATTGTATCTCGTCATTGGACCGCGCTATTTCTTCATCTAACTGGCGGGTGAGGCGGCGTATTTTGTCCTCCAGCTCGTTGATATACGCTCGAGTACGCCCCCAACTCGTTGTGAAGGTCGAAGATGTTGATGAATTGGCCGTTGGCGATGTCGGTCAGGCGACAATGATCCTCGTGCAGATCGATGGAGTAGGTGAGGAGCTCATTGTAGACGAGTTGGAGGAAGTGGAAGTCGGATGAGAGCAGCATATGTTGTTCGTGGAGGGCATGGTAGTCGCCGAGAAGTCTTTGGTGGACATGCACAAGAGTCACTGGCAAGTTGCTACTGTGGTATTAGCATAGTAATGAGGCATCGACGACGGTCACGCACCGTGGCTGGCCCGGGGCCGCTGGCGGCGGGCCATTGGAAGAGTGGTGACCGGCAGGCGTATAGGACATTAGGGGATTATAGATGGTGGCAATAGTTTTCGTTGTCGCTCTTATAGTAAAGTCTTGCAGCGGTGTTTGGGGGTGAATAACATTGAGTTCGACACGGAAGGCAATAACGACCTTCTTCTACTGATGGATTACATTAACTAATTATAGTTCGCTGCAGACGGTACCGAAGGCCGATCCGAAAATTCAGGTCACGCGGTGCCGGCCGGGCGACGGCTTTGTCAGCTCAGGCTTTCAAGTTCAAACCATGCCCAAACAACGATACGCATGCGAACTCTGTCAGCGTCCGCTCCGAAACCTCGGTGAAGCCAAAACCAACCATGACAGAGCGTGTTCTGGGTTCAAAAGGCTGCATTTGATGCACGTTTCTCGGGTCCAAGAAGATTTTGCTGCAAGAGCAAAAACACATCATGATGTCTCAGCCTCCCCTCCTCCCGCGCCTCCTGGGCCAGCTCAAGTTGTAGGTGTCTCTCGCGGAGTCTTTGTCCCTCTCACACATGCAATAGATTCCCATCGATGACGCTCCTCCCGTAAAACGCAAGAGTGGCTTACCTGCGCCGACGGACGCGTGTTCCCGCGAAATTCAACGATGCAGCGCCTCCGCCAGCTCCGAGGTTACGACGTTTGCGTTCAGCTCTCACAAATCCCGGCGTTGGGCCGGTTTCTCTCCCTCCGTCTCAATCTCAACCAGAAATCGATGCAGCACCACCAGGAGCACCGTCTCAACAGTGGCTACAGACGGAGCCAAACGAGTTTGGACTCTATAAAGTATATCCCCGCCGACCCACGCATGATCCTGACGCTTTCGTTCAACCCAAGGATTTGTATCGGGTCGCCCAGCACGACCAACGATCTTCCGAAAGCATACCACTCCCAACGGAGCCTTGGTTTTATCCTTTTCCCAACCCGTCTGTCGCCCACCTTATCAAATATCATGTCGAAGAGGAAAACCCCCAATCTATTGCGGGTTTTGACCGCTTTATTCAAAACATCCTCCTTCCAAACGCAGAAGCTCAATCCGATGGGGTCTCATTAAGCGAGCTCCCTACACCGTTTTCAACCCAGAAGTTTCTGGATAAGCTCGATAAGCACGGCGTCGAACCACTGGGCATCAACGACAAATGGAGTCGCGGAGCAGTTATGCTCAAACTACCATGCGTCGGCGGCGTCCACCAGGCAGAAAGTAACGCGCCAGTCTTCATCGTCGACAATATCTATTATCGCCCACTTCTGGATCCTATCCAAGAAGTACTTCAAGGCCCTCTCTTCCAGCAGTTGCACACGACACCTTTCTCCCTGAGAGCAGCCCCGGGCCCGCAGAATGGAACGATGCCTGAAACGATGCCCAACTTTGTCACAGAGGAGCTGCCTACTATCGTCGATGAACATGGACTGCCCCCCCTTCCTAAAAACCACGAGGAGGTTTTCGGCGAAATCTATACGTCGGCCGCAATGCTCGAGGCATATCATGCAATCCCTCAACCTCCACCGCCGCAAACTGCTGATGATCCTGTTGAGAGCATCGTTCTGGCTCTCATGGAATGGTCAGACGCAACTCATTTGGCTCAATTTGGCACGGCCTCGCTGTGGCCTGCTTACACTTTCTTCGGTAATCATCCTAAAGACTTTCGTGGCAAGCCGACATCCAAAGCGGGCTTTCATCAAGCGTACTTCGCATCAGTAAGATGCTCTGACTTCTCCTTTATACAGCCTTATCCACGATTCGTAGCTTCCTGACTCTGTCCGTGATTCTTACAGACAGCAATATGGATGTGACATGCCTGATGAGGTATACACCCACCTCAAGCGGGAGCTGATCCATGAAATCTGGAACCTCCTCCTCTCCGACAACTTCATGGACGCGTACGACAATGGTATCAAAATCAAGTGTTGGGATGGTATCATTCGACTTGTTTTCCGCTTTTCATCTATGGCGCCGACTACCCTGAGAAGTAAAATTTTCCCTGTTCAAATATCTCTCACTTACCAGAAAACAGGGTTCTTCTTGCGACTATTAGGAGTCTTGGTGGAAAGCCTTGCCCTCGCTGTTTCGTAGAAAAGAAGAAAATATCCGAAACTGGAACAGTCAATGACATGAAGCGCAGGAAGCATGTCCGTATCGATAATCATCCGAGACGTGCCACCATCGAGGACGCAAGAAAAGCTATGTTCAGCAACGGCAACTCTCTTATTGGCTCCAGCCTCAATGCTATCTTGAAGAAAGACTCTTGGGTCCCTACTCGTGTTCGTTTCTCCATGCACCCCCAATGCATCTCTCATTTCTTACTAGAACGCTTTCTCGAAACTAGACACGCCGAAAACTCCCTTCAACCTCTTCAGCATGTTCGTTCCAGACCTTTTACATGAAATTGAACTAGGTGTTGCTAAAAGTATTATTGTGCATTTTATTCGCATGCTCCACTCTTTTAAAAAGACAGACGAATTTGATCAGCGGTTTGTTTCAATTCAAATCTATCGGCTCCATCTTTCTCATGTTGAATAGGTTTCGCCAAATTCCTACCTTCGGTCGTTGCTACCATTCGCTCGTTCAGCCATAATGTGTCAGAACTCAAATACGCTGCCGCCCGTGACTACGAAGACATCCTTCAAGTCAGTTGTTGGAATCACTTCTGCTATGCAGTATTGACTGTTTCAGTGTATTCTGCCGGTTCTTGAAGGACTTTTCCCGTCGCATCAAAGCCTGGTCGATCAGTTGTGCTTCGAGCTTGCACTCTGGCATGGTTACGCCAAGCTCCGCATGCACACGACCTCGTCAATCGAATCTTTTCGCGCTGCTACTACGACTCTCTGTTCGACTATTCGACGCTTTGCTCGGGAAACAGCCGACATCAAAACTTTTGAGCTACCCCGAGAAGAACGCCGGAGAACAAAAAAGAAAGCCCCATCCACCAGCCCAACACATGTGGTTGACGGGTCAGCCGCTGGGGTGTCGACGCAGTCATCAACAGTGCCTTCATCAACCCGTCCTCCAGCAACCAAGAGAGGCCCGGGGAAGCAGAGAACTAAAAAGCTCGAAAAGCCCTTCAATCTGATTACCTATAAACTACACGCCCTTCCCGACTATCCTGATGCCATTCTGCGCTTCGGAACCACCGACTCTACCTCGACACAGAACGTGAATAGTTGCCACATTCTCATGGGAAGATTTGACAGTTTACCTAGGGTGAGCTGGCTCATCGGCTGGTGAAGCATTTCTACAAGCGCACCAACAAACGCAACCATGTCGGTCAAATTGCTGCTCATGAACGACGGAGGAGACTGATGCGAACGATGTGGGAGAACAGAAAACGCTTCAAATCAGCAGGAAGCAAACCAGTCGCGCCAGCGGCAACAACCGTCAAACACATTTCGCGGGCACGTTCCAAGCGTCAACGAAGGCTCCAAGTGGCATTGCATCCAGAGGCTAACCCCCGGTATTCTGCTTACATTCCCCCAGAGCAGCATCATTACATCTCCAATTCAACGCGAACGTTTTGGCACCTAGCAGACATTATGGGTGATTCCACCGAGAGCGAAGATGAAGGCGATGGCCCGCCCATTAATCGCATGGTCTGTTAAACCACGCGAACTCTTTTGGATACTGACTGTCTACAGGAAATTGATCCCCCAGAACAGGACCCTGTTCTCAAGGTCTGCCATCTTTCTCATTCTCGTCCTCCCTCTAATGAATGGTAGGATTTTGTCCGCCATCTCAAGTCGCATCTCCGCCAGCGCCTTCTGAACCTTGAGGACAATGACATCGACACACAATTCAACGACGAGGAACTTATCAGCATTGTAATCCAAGGGGACCTCATCTACACCCACGCAACTCTGCGTGTCAACTACACCACGTACGATGTTCAACGTGATCAAGATGTTCTCAATCCCCGGACACGCAAATTTCTTATCGTTCACGCACAAGACCCCGAGGACCATCACCGATACTGGTATGGCGAGTTACTGGGCATATTCCATTGTTATGCCGTTCTGGCCGACCAGCCAAGAAAGGCTGAACGTATGGAATTCCTATGGGTCCGATGGTTGCAAAGAGACATTAGCTATCCATGTGGCTTCCGGGAAAAACGTTTGCCACGTCTCTCCTACATGCCTTTCCAAAGTCCTGATGCTTTCGGCTTTCTCGATCCGCGCGATGTCGTTCGAGGTGCTCATCTCATACCCGCGTTTCACCATGGACGGACACGCGACTATCTTCCAAAATCTGCGATTCTCCGAAGGACAGAGCATGACGAAGATTGGAAATACTATTATTCTAATATGTGAGTTCGTTCTGCGACTATGATCAGCTCACTTATTTCTTTCTAGGGTCGTTGATCGAGATATGCTAATGCGATACCATACCAACGCCATCGGCCATCGGAAGGTTGCTGCTAGGTTCCGAGACGAAAGTGACGATCTCGAAGCGACCGCTGCAGCTGAGGATGTCGAGATGGAGGACATCAATGAAGAAAGGCAACTTGAAGCGCCCTCAATGGAGGATGATGATACGGAGGGAGAGGAGGGTGCTGATCTTGAGTACGTGGATGGGCAAAGCGGTTCAGACTCCGAGTCGGATTCAACTCAAGGTAGTGATGATGACGCTTCTTTACATGGCGATGAAGCTATACGCGTTAGCCTTGGCTTTGACAATAGTAGTTGACTTCGTTGTTGTTGTTCAAGTTTTTTGAAGTTCTCCGTTCGTGCTAATAACTTACTTGAACTGTGTATGCCTCCCTGGATGCGATGTCGTCAATAATATGCCGGTCAATTCCAAGTGCTTTAGAATGTTAATACATCGATCTGTTGGCGAATTTACGGTTGGTCTGGCATTATTGATGGCTACATTGAGGGTTGATGGAACCGCTCATCCTTCAATAGAGCCGATTCCTTTTAAATGCCTTACTCTGGAGCCGAAATCCTCCAGAATCCCTTCCGCACCCAACCGTGACTACCATGAATTACTACGATCGAAGCTCTGACAACGTGTCTGAGTATGCGGCTTTCCGTTACCGTCCTTCTCCCAACAAGACCCCTGCCAGTGCAGCCACTGGCAAGTCAACGACACCAGGTTCCGAGTCTTCGAACGACGGTCAAAGCCAGGGTCAGAGCCTCTTCACTCCCAACGACACTGGTGTTGTCACGGCTCAGACGAACGTCAACGAAGCAGCGCCTATCCCCTCGTTGCTTCCTCGTCTGTATGTTCATCCCTGTTCTCCGCCCACTATTCTTCTACTGACACAAGCCGCAGCATAGCCGCCAGTGGTGGAAGAAGCTCTACAACTCAGGAGTCAGCCGAGGGAAAAGGTAATATCATTCAGCTCGTTCTACGCAATGACTGACAATGTTCCAGTCAAGGGCTACGAGAAGTTGGAGAAGGTTCACAAAGCTATCTTAGCCGATCACACTGCCCTACTCACCTCTCACGCCGCCCTCTCGAAAACTCTCAGTCAAACCGAAAACTCCCTTCGTGACGCACGACAAGCGGCCGAACACGAGACTAAAGACATTCGCATTCGTCTTACAAAGGAGATCGAAGCAGAGAAGCTGAAGGTTGTGGTGTTGGAGACAGAGTTGGATCAGGAGAAGCGACGGACAAAACTCCTGGAAATCGATGCTGCCGCTCGTCAAAAGCACATCCACTACCTCGACAACGATATTCTCGCAAAACGCAAGAAGATTACGTCGCTCAGGGCCACTATCACCGAAGTTATCCGTAGCCGCGAGTCCACGCTCAACCAAGTTGTCCAGCTCGAAACCCAAGTGGGCGTTCTGACCCGCCAGCACGCCACAGACCGTCAACTACTTCTCGCAGCGGAAGGTGCCCTCACCACTGCGCGATCCCAAGCTCGTGGCCTCCTGGTCTCTTTGCGGGTTGCCGTTCGTGCTCTCGACAGAGCTATCGGAGCGGTTCAAGTTGACGACATTTCGATGGAGATTGTAGAGGTATCCTCGGACCATTCCGACTCGGAGGAACAACGCGAACGCAGTCTCGAGGCATAACTACTAGTAGACAGAGAACCATTGTAGTAAACACGCCTCGAAGTCTATTCTCCGCCAAAACTAATAGTTGTTGCTTGAGTTAACCTTCAAGTTGTCCTATTCGAACTGGAAGTAGAATTTGGCTTCTGCATTCACCAAAATCGCTCACATGCACTTCGTGATGTGATCTTGTCATCTTGGCTGGTGACCTCACTCTCGTTTGCTCTCGCTCAGGCTCGTCCTCCGTTCTGAGTTCATTGCGCCGTCAACTAACACCCTTTCAGTTATATTCCTCTCCAGCGATTTGCAATACCTACTTTCTCGTGCGCCGTTTTGGCTTCAAGTTGGCCGAATCTACCCCCACAACAACAAGCCGCCCATCCATGGCGCTCCCAACTGCTTTGCAGGGAGGGATGTTTCCCCTCCGAACCCAATTTGCCCAACCCACACACCGAGGCAGCGCCAGCATTGCCGCATTCACTCCCTCCGCAATGCAGCATGGTCACTTTTCAATACCTTCGCTGCTGGGTGGCCAGCAGTTCGTCCCGCCTCCTTTACTTGTCCAGGGCACTCCCTTCTCTGGAAGGAATACACGACGACCCAGTATAGGCGCCCCCGAAAGCAGTTCTAGGTGTAGCCGTCAGCAAACACGGTCAGTCTCCACTCCATTTTGTCTACGTGTCTAGATTTCACACAAAGGCAGATCTCCTCTCTAGCCGATTCTGCTTTTCTCTTCTTCAAACTGAACAAGCTGTAGCAAGCTCAAGCCACAGGCTCTCTCGCACCTTCGCACCATCAATTCCTCCTCGACCACAGCCGCCATTTACTGGTCTTCCGCCCTCCCCGGGCCCCCGCTTTCAACCTCCAAGATTCACGACGAATCGTCATGGCTACAGCATATCTCTTGCGCAACCGCCAACGTCTACCAATATATCGACGAGTAATCGGGCCAGATGCATTATTGCTGGCGGACCAACACCCATTAAGCGACTCTAATAACGATGCGCCTCTTGCGCGCAACTTAAAATTCACGCACCACAAGGACGAGTCCCGATGTCCATGCCGTCACTTACTGCACCTCGAGCCACTTCTCGACCAGAAAGCAGGGAGAGCAGACCTGATTTCATGCGCGGGTTGGGGTTGGGTGCTACGAAAGGAGGACGAAACGGAAGAGGACAGCTTTGTCACCAACGATCAGGCAGAACAAACTGCGACGAGGACGGATGATGGTGTACAAACCGCTCGTCATTCGCGCCATGTTTCAAGGCTTTCGGCGGCGTTATCGCTGCAGTCCGTTGGCGGCATTGTGGGCAATAATATTAATGGTGTCAGACTGCGGGTCGGGCCGTGCAAGGACTTCTCCTAAGAACGCGCGCCCGGGAACAGAACAGACGAATAGTCGGGCCCGCAAGTATGGCGGGCGGGGTAGATCGAAACCGAAAGGGCCCGTGAACTCGGTCCCTTGCCGTAGTCGGTGGTCGAAGGTTCGAATCGGGTCGTGTCGGGCCCGATGAGTCGATAGCGTCTCCTCGCACGGAGTAAGGTAGTTCTTCAGACGATCTAAGCGATAGAGTACAGGGTACACTATCGCGCATTATATACGCGGGCCCGCAAAGGGGGTGATTGGACACCCTGGCCTCTCCTCCTCCTCCTCGCTCCCGTTCCTGGCCGCAGGGGACGATCGCACATCCCTTGCGGGCCAGGCGCTACTCCTGACCTCCTAGCACTCCTCCCCATTCCCCTGGTGTCGAGTTGGGCTCGGCGACGGCTCGACGCGTCGTTCTCGGTCACGTGCTTCCCACGTGTGCGTTCCTCCTACTGGGGCGCATGTTCCCCGTCGTCACGTGCTGCGTGTTACGGGCCCGCAATGGCCCGACACCAGCGCCGGAGCGGACGGGCCGGGTCTTATCCGTGACATCACCCCCTCCCTAGGAACGACTCGTCTCGAGTCGGCGTGGCTCGGTCGCCCCGGTTTCTCGGGTTTTAATTTTGACTCTAGCTCGTCCTTCCAATCGCAAATTCCATCCAGCCCATAAGCTTAAGCTAAGCTTCGGCTGCGCATTTTAATCTCCCGCGGCTTCTGACGCCTCGTGGCGTCCGCAGATCGATTCTTCCTGTCCATCAAGTGTTTCACCGCGGTCACGTGCGGTATAGCGTAGGTCCTTTTCAATTCAGTTGCGCGTCCTTTGTTCGTATTGCTTGCGAGTAGGCTGTGCTGCGCGCCTCGGTCGAGTTCGATATAGAACGCGTTCGTTTCCCCATATAAGCCGGGGCTTCCCCTTCTAATCCTCTTTATGTCGTCCCCCAACTTGTACCGCTCCGGGTTATTGCCCCCTCTCAGTTCTCAGATGGTTCCCCCATCCTCAGAGCCGGGTCGTCTGTTCGTCCGTTTCGCCTCTATGTCCCTCGTCGAGTTTCCTGCTTCCTGGCCCATCGCGCAAGGGCGAGACCCGTCGTACCGGGAGTTGTTCGAGCCCCTGCGCCTGTTGGAGGACTTGCCCCCGTCTCAAGCCGTCGACTATTCCTCCAAGCTACTCCCTCTGCTGGCCCCCGTAGTCCGTTCACATCGAGCTCCCGCTCTCCCAGTTCCCCCCGCAGCGCCCCCCGCGGCCGTCGTCTTTCCCGCCGAATCCTGTGGCAGTGCAGGTCGACCGCCTAATGAAGGCCGGTTTGTGGCAGCCGCTGGTCTTCGGGCCCCATCACCTCTATTTCGGTGTTCTGTTCGATCGTTCCCCTCCTCCTTCGTCTGGCGTCGCGAGGACGGCTCTCTTCAGGATGTTCGCCCTTTGTTTGGACAGCTGGGCCGTGGCCTCCTTGCGCACCTCCTCGCTGCCGACGCTGCTTCGCCCAGTGATTCGTTTTTTCCCCGTCTGTGGCGTTGGGTGGTATGTCTCCCTCTCTGTGCGCTTTCGGCCGCGTGCTGACTGGCTCCGTTCAGCGCCTCATCCTTCACGCCTTGTCTTGCGCCGCTTCTGTCGGTCTCCCTTCCTTCGTCTCAGATCGATTCCTCGTCCTAGCCCACGTGGCCGCTTTTCGCGTGTTTCCCGAAGAGAACGTAGCTCGGCCCGATACGCTGGCCCGACTACTGGGTCCTCTCCCTCCATCTCTCGTGCCGCCGTTCCTTCATGCCGACCGGTGGTCGTCCTTCATCCGGGTGGTTTCTTTGCCCGATCCTCGGGAGGAGTTTGCCTTCTCGGACGGCCCCTCGTTGGATGAGGCGGAAGCGGGTGTTTCGTTCAGCTTTCTCCCGTTGGCGGCCTGGTTGGATGATCAATTCCCGAGCACCGAGAGTGATCCGGAGGATTCCAGTCGACGGCCCCGGTTATGAAACGCGTTCCCCCTACTCCGGTGGTTCGGGCGCGGTCTTCGTCTTCGATGGAGGTCGACGTGGAACGGGATGGTGCCCCGCCGGTTTCGACCCTACTTTTCCTACCTTCCGACTCGGGTTCGGATTCGGATGTGGAGGTGATCGCCGGCCCTCGTCGTTTGTCTTCGGTGGGGATCGACGCCTCTGAACACGAGTCGGCTACGGATGCCCTCGACCTTCTTCCTTCTCCCGGCCGTGTCGCCTGCCCCGTTGCAACGGGATTTCGGCACCCCCTTGGCCCCTCGTCTTGAATCCACTGGACAGCTGGCGCTTTTTCGAGGGGAGCCCCTCGTCAACCGGGAACAGTGATCCGA